TCAATGCTATGGAATCCTGGGCATTGTAGTTTGGTGGGAAACGAGAGCTCCCTGGCAAGGAAGGCTAAATGGCTCACTAAACTACAAATCCCAGAGTTCTATAGCATTGAGCTATGAAGTGGTATCAGACTGCTTTATTTCTGCAGTGTGACAGCCTCCTGCCTCTCTCTTGAATGGTTTCAAAATTCAAGAATTATTAGGAAAGGCTCACAGGAAAAGAAGTACATCTTCTCATATGGTGGAGCCAGTCCTAGATCTCCTTTAGGATTGATATTAAACACTGCAAAGTATCTCCTGGTCAGCAGTGATGAAAAAGAAAGATAAGGCATTGCAATTGACTTTGTCTCTTTTTCTTAAAGGAACTGCACGAGAGTCAAAGGGACACACATTTTTCTTTTTCATATTTTGTTCAAAAAAAAAAAAAGCATTCCTTTGTTCTTTCTTTATTTTATTTTTCTTTAAGATCTTGCCATGCATTACTTTCGGATCTTAAAAGAGACTTTCATCTCTGCACTGTCCTCCTTTCCTTTCTTCCTAGCGGGCCTCAATTACAAGCCACTGATTTCCGACTGCCTTGCCCACTGAGAAAGAGTGACCTGCCGCTGCATGACTTCAGAGAGCAATCCTTTGGAGATGCTTTGGTTCAGCAGCCAAAGACAAGGTTAAAAGATATGCTCTGCTCCCCTCTCCATGCAAGCTCTCTTGTGCCAGGGCTGCATCCCTTGGAAATGTTCATCCCAAGCACTGTTGTCAGAAAGCTTCACGTAACATTTCTTTTTAATACAAGAGCCAGTAATATTCCTTTGTTAAAAGCCATTTTGATTTTTCCCTTGGTCCTAGATGTATCCTTCCCTGTCATCAGTCTTGTATTGGTATAAATACATATTGCTGCAAAAAATTACTAGTTTAATTTTTTTAAAGTTTAAAACAAACAAAAACAAACAGGGTTGGGGGTTGTTGTTATTATTATTATTAAGAATTATTTATACCCCGCTCTTCAGCCAAAAGACTATCAGAGCGGCTTACAAATGGTTAATTAGACTTTATTGTTTTTCCTTTCCCCCCCAAATCCTGCTTTAAAGTCCTAAATAATAATAATAATAATAATAATAATAATAAAACATTATAGAAATTCCACTGTAAGGATGGATCCAAATTTATCCCCTTCTAATTCTGTTTTATTCCAGGTGATGGGAGCCTAGCTCTTATCTCTGGCAATTGCAGTTCTTCCTTCCTTCTGGCTCTCCTTCTATTTCTGAACTGAACTAATAGATACAGCCTGTTCTTTAGGGTTTCCCACTCACCGAACCAAACCAATAATTCAAGTTTTATGCCAGGAGTTTGGGACATATTGTGAGATTTATGTGACTCACTGAAAAAGATGATAATACTTGGTAAAGTGGAACACAGTAGGAAAAAGGAAGACCACATTCAGGTGAATAGACTCAATGAAGGAAGCTGAGTTTGCAAGACCTGAGCAGAACAGTTGATAACAGGGTGACTTGGATGTCTTTCATTCAAAGGGTCGCCATAAATTGAAGTCAATTGACAGCAAATAACAACAGCAACAACAAGCAGCAATAACACTATCTCCGCCCATCCCCCAAAATCACCTCTGCCGTGAAAAGCTTTGCTTGTGCAATATGTTGTTGTGCTTTTGAGTCATTTTTGACTCATGGTGGTCCTAAGGTGACATTATCATGGGGTTTTTGTTTTTGTTTTTTGCAAGATTAGTTCTGGGGAGATTTGCCATTGCCTCCTTCTGAGGCTGAGAGAGTGTGATTTGGCTAAGGCCACCCAGTGGTTTTCATAGCCGAGCTGGGAATCAAACCCTGATCTCCAGCATTGTAGTCCAGCACTCAAACCACTGTGCCACATTGGCTCACCTTGTGCAATATAGCAACTTTAAATGTAATGCAACTGCTTGCATTGTTGAAAACATTGTGTGCTTCACACCTGCTTGTGCCTTTTTGACTGGATTTTAATAATCCTTTGCTGCTGGAGCTGCTTGCTAGTGCTGCAAAGTGCATAATATATAAATTTCATCAGGCCTTCAGAATATCATTAGAATATTCCTCTTCATTCAAGCCTCATTTTATTTTCCTAAAGCTACAAACCTGAATTTGATGAGATTTTAATTGCAGGCCTAATTGTGCCTGCCTAACCTACC